GGCAAAGTCTGCTGTTAGGGACCTCTCTAAAGTACTCAAGAGCAACGGCATCTCTCTGGAGACTAAGGTGCACCTGATACAGGCCATGGTCTTTGCAATCACTTGTTATGCACCAGAGAGTTGGACAATGACTAGGGAAGAAAGAAAGAGAATTGATGCCTTTGAGCTGTGGTGCTGGAGAAAAGTATTGAATGTACCATGGACTGCCAGGAAAACAAACAGATTCATCCTGGATAGGATTAAACCAAGCTACTCCTTGGAGGCAAGGATTCTGGGGCTTCGTCTGACATACTTTGGGCATGTTGCAAGGAGGGACAGGTCCTTGGAGAGGGACATCATGCCTGGGAGGGTGGAAGGACGCTCAAGAGGGGAAGACCCTCTATGAGGTGGATTGACTCAGTGACTGGGGTAATCGGGATGGGTGTGTCAGAGGCAGTGCGACTGGCACAGGATAGAGCACGGTTTAGGGCTGTTGTACATAGGGTCACTATAAGTCGTGAATGACTCGACGGCACATAACAACAACAACAGTTCTCTGATCTATTGTGAGATGGTTTTTGTGTATGGTGTGAAGTGTGGATCTTACTTCAGATTCCTGCAGATGGATGTCTAATTTTGACTAATTAGACATGACTAACTTTTAGGATGACAAATTTTGCCAGCTGCAATATAAAAGGCACGAGGTTCAAATAGAAGACTGGCCAATCTCCTCTTGTGTGATTAACTGCCTCTCAAAACCCACTTGGGGGTCAGCTGTGAGTCGATTCCAACTCGGTGATATACAACAACAACATGTGTTAAAGAGGGAGCTCTGGACACTAAGTGGTAGGGAATTGTGCTGCCAATTCAAAGGTACTCAGAATCAACCAGCTGCTCCATTGGACAAAAACAGACATTTTCCTCCTATGAGATTTACAGCCTCTGAAAACTTGCTGGAGGGTCAGCAATGAGTCAGTTCAGACTTGATGATACAACATTTGTTTAAAAAGCTAACATTTCCCTACTTATTTGATTTCGTCTTCTTGTCAAAAGTCATTTGGCCATAGGTAGGTGGATTGATTTCTGGGTTCTCAATTCTATTCCATTGATCTATATGTCTGTTGCAATACCACTACAAGACAGTCTTTATTAATATGGTCATGTAGTAGGTTTTGAGATCAGGGAATATGGTGCTTCCTCTTTGTTTATCTTTTACAGTAGTTCTCTACTTATCCAAGTCTTTTCCCTTTCCAGAAAAAAATTAGTAATTTCCTTTTACAACTCATTGAAAAAAAGGTATTGGTTTAGGTAGCTATACATTTCTTTTAAATGTTATAATGCTAATGGGAAAAAAATAAGCCATTCGTATATTTGAAAGATTTACATCAAGTCTTATGGATATTAAAAAAAATGACGGCTTCATGATTAAGTTGTATTGCTGACTCAAAGTCAAGCAGTTTGAATCTACCAGTTATTCCTTGAACACGAGGTGGACTATCACCTCCCTGTGATTTACAGGCTCTGAAAATTCACCAGTGGTTGTTGTTGCTGTTGTTGTTGTTGTTTTGTGTGCCATCAAGTGTGAACTGACTCATAGCTGCCCCTCCAGAGGGCTTTCAGAGGCAGTAAATCACATGGGAGGAGACTTCATCTTCCCCCCAAGAAGTAAATGGAACATTTGAACAATGTGCCTTTGGGTCATCAGCACAATGGGACTGTGCCATCTATCAGTTCAAAGGAGAGGTCAGTTATATTCCCCCAAATGTATCGCAAGGTTTTGACATCAGGTAAACACTGGGAAAACACTGATACATTTATGACTTTCAATTACCCTGCCAATTGAATCTGGGGATCTTGCAATCAAAGTCCCCTCAGATGTGTGTCATTAATAAAAATGACACAATATCCCTGATTTGTTAAACACAAAATCTTGAAAACTGAAAATTACTTTGTAAAAACAACTGTCCCATAGAGAACAATCCTGTTTTTCTGAGCTCAGCTTTTATCTCTTAGAAATAATTACAGTACTCAAACTTTAAAAATAATATTTCCTACTAAACTGAGTCAACTCTCACCCTAAATTTAAGCCAAAGATTTCTCCTCACCTTAAACTCAATTACATACCAAAAAATGACCACTAGTGCTGTGTGAGAGTGCCAAGTGGGAATTAGTGAAAGACTTTGGCAAAAGATCCAATAATTACTAATCCTCTGATACCTTAAGAGGTCATTTCACTACCAAACCCTGCACTGTTTGATAGTATTTAACTATTACAATAGAATCCATGAAGAAAATTACAACAGTGTGTGAAGAAATGACAACAGAACCATGCATGAAGAAGTGCAGGATATTTTTGAAAACTACTCTCCCCAAGCTTTATGGGTTCTGAGGGAACCAAAGTCAGAAAGAAAGGCTAAGTCAGAAACAAAAGGAATGTTCTCCACATCACATATGGAATTTTGGGGGACCAAAAACATGCCATAGATGATTTGAGAAGATAGTGTCCAGTCAACTGGATTTGAGAGATAAATAGATAGATAGATAGATCGATCGATAGATAGATAGATGATAGATTCACTTAAATGTCAGAATTAGCTAAGAAAGTGAGCAGAAATTCTATTCTTAAAGTATCTAAGTTTCCTAACTAAATTAGTCTGTTTTCTTTGTAAATCCAGCTTCGTAATGGGAACCAAAGAATTTTAATGCCTCACTTGTTGAATGTTAGTTTAGAATTCGTTCCTAGAAATGCTTTCATTTCAAGCCTGTGGAGTATTTGTGACTGTGTTGCAAATGAATAGAGGAGAGCAAATCTGTGAATGTCAAGATCTAGAAACTGCAGAATCCACAACCACCGTGACCCCCGGTGAGTGATCATTAAATATCCATTTCCAAAATTTCAAGTGAACTATTTAATTCAACTGAAAAAGTGTTGTAGTTAGATCCCATGGATTTTATATCTGTCAGACATCGTGACATGCACATTTTTTATAGCTTCTGTGCATCCAATTATATATTTACATAAATTAGGATATCTTCCAAGCCATCAATACACACTGTCTCTCTAACAGATGCCTGGTCCATAGCAAGGTCTAAAGAGAGACTTTATGAAGAAATTAATAAATTCTTAGTCTCCATAGGAAAATGGCATCCTGAAACTCCATAGAAACCCTGTCTTTGATGTTGCCAGTACAGACATTGTATAGGAATACTGAAGTCACTTTTACAACATTCTGGTCAATATTTGTATATTACCAAGTAGATTTCTGTAAATAGAAACCCATAAATATCTGTTTGGAATTGCTGAGAGTTTCTTTTCTCTTTTATTAACTTCCATGTTGTAGAGTTAAAATTCTGTTTTGTTAATCTAATCTACTGGCAATGAAAGAGTCATAGATAGAGGAAAATATCTCAGTGACTGAGCTCTCCTGCTACTTAAAATAATTTACTTCATATTATTAAAGAGACTGGTGACTTACTTATGTGACTCCAATTTTAAGGAAAATACACTGTATTTTTGCAAGTGCTGGGAAAAGAGAAAGAAATCATAACATATCTTACAGGTTTTTTGTATGAATAACACACTCATTTTTAAAAATCTGCATATGGGATGTCATACTTCGGAGGGTTGAGGGACAGCGCAAGGGAGGAAGAGCCTTGATGAGATGGATTGATTGAGTGACGAGGTAACGGTAGTAGGTGTGTCAGGGACAACGAGATTGGCACAGGATAGAGCGGTGTTTAGGGCTATTGTACATGGGGTTGCTATGAGTCGCTGGTGACTCGATGGCACATAACAACAACAACATACACAGTACAGTCCTAGGAAAAAAATATTCCGTTCAATATGAAATTTCAAACTCGCCTTCCTGATTAATTATGTGCTTAGAGACAAAATGACATTGTCTTTATTGTTGTGTACTATAGAGTGAAAGCTGACCCATACCTAATCTTCCGTAGAGTAGGAGCTGACACAGAGCTGACCCTCTGGTGGGTTTTCAGAGGCACGGGAGGAGATTGTCCATCCTTCCTCCAAGGAACAGCTGGTGGGATTCAAACCGCATACCTTCTGGCCTACAGTGCAGCTTCTTGCCACTAAGCCACCAGAGCTCCCTACTATTCCTATTTTGTCAATAGGAAGGTCAGTAAAGCGTCATGACTCCTTTCCTCCCTATTGTAAACTTCAAGTAAAGAAATGTGACTAATACAGAGACAGGCTTCTTTATATAGTAACAGATACAGGGCACACAAATTTCACTTAACAAATATTACTAACTTTTCAGGTGGTCTCACACTACTTAATTTACTATATTCTAAGATGAGTCGACAGAAAGGTTGAGAATTATATAAAGGGTCATGTTTAATCAGAGATTAAGCATACAGGGATACTGAACAAACACTATTGAAAAAGTTATTCTAAAGTTTGTGCCAGGGCATTTTGAGAGGAAAAACAATCCTGATCTGCAAATTTCTCCATCTTTCTGTGAAAGTGCATTCATTTGGTAAAAAGGAATAACACACAGCAAAACAATGCAAACATAAATATATCATGAGTGAGGAAGTTCATGTCTGATATACAATTGACTATTAAAATACGTTCATAGGACCTAGAGATATTTATGTGAATAGAGAACATGAGTCCTAAAAACGATGTTGTTGATGTAATGTGTTACCAAATGTTAAAAAAAAAAAATCTACAATTTGGGAAACTTTTAGAGGCAGAGAAAAACTTTGGAAACCAAACAGAAATCATAATTTATAATAACACAATCTTTTATTGACAGGTATGTAAAGTGTTATAATTTCATGATTACAAATTAGAAGAAACAATCTCTTTGTGCTTTTCTTTATGATCTTTTTTAAAATGTCAAAGGTGGGGAAGTACTAACTCCATTGATCTTAGAAACAAGGACACAAGAAATGGTAGAATACTGCAGTTATTGGATTAAAAATATCATCACTCAGAAATACTGTTCTCTTTTCAGATGGTCCACGTGCCCTTATCCAAAGCTGCCTTGGTAGAAAGGATGAGAAACGTCACAGAATTCATCCTGCTGGGCCTCACTCAGAACCCGCATCTGCAGAAACTCTTAATTCCTGCGCTTTTCTTCACCTACCTGTTCACCTTGGCAGGTAACCTGCTCATCTCACTCACTATCATCGTCAGTCCCGCCCTGGACTCTCCCATGTACTTTTTTCTGTCCTGTTTGTCCATCATAGATGGTTCCTATGCTACCTCCATAGCTCCCAAAATGATGTTTGACTTGATCACTAAGAAAAACACCATCTCCTTCAATGGCTGCATGACTCAGCTCTTTGCTGAACACCTCTTTGGGGCAGCAGAAATCATCTTGTTAACAGCAATGGCCTATGACCGGTACGTGGCCATCTGCAAGCCTTTACACTACACCACCATCATGAGCAAGACCCTCTGTAGAGTCATGGCAGCAACAGTTTGGATTTTGGGGGTCATTCACGGAGGGGTCCAGCTTTTGTTCATACTCCAATTACCATTTTGTGGCCCCAACGTCATGGACCATTTTGCATGTGATTTAATGCCTCTCTTGGAGCTGGCCTGCGTGGACACTCGCAGCCTGGGGCCTCTGATTACGGCCAATAGCGGGTCACTCTGTTTGCTCACGTTTTCTATGCTGGTCATTTCCTATGTCATCATCCTGCGCGCTCTGAGGACTTACAGCTCTGAAGGACGCCGCAAAGCCCTCTCCACCTGTGCCTCCCATATCATCGTTTCTATCTTATTCTTCGCACCTTGTTTATTCCTATATCTAAGACCCATGACCTCCTTCTCCGCAGACAAAGCTGTGTCTATATTTTGTACCCTAGTTACACCTATGCTGAACCCCTTAATCTACACCCTGAGAAATGCAGAAGTGAAAAATGTCATGAGGAAACTCTGGGGTCCAATGATAAAAATAAGTGATAAATAAATCTTGTCCTTGAAGCATTTAGATGAGTAATGCTTGATTATCCTGTTTGGATAAATTTGCTTTAGGCCTCCACATGTTGTCTGTGGGACTACTTTACCTTTTAAACACAGCAGGCACTTTCCTGCACTCTAGATAATTGGAGATACTTTTATGTTTTAATAGTTTTCAAAAATAAGAAAAATATAATTCTGTTTAACCTTGTAAATGCAAGTGTGTAGAGTCCATAAAAATCAATGTGCCCTGATTATGGGTATAAAGTGTATCAACAGCAACATCTTTGATCATTTTTGTACCCATTACCACAAATGGAGGGGAGCTTTATTTTAAAATGAAACAAACACAATATTCCTTTTTGTGGAAGGAGTTTAGAGCAGAAGAGAGAGTTTTCAAGAAGTATATTGAGCAAAACGCACATGGTTTTACCTGCTTGAGAGGTAAAAAAATACTTTTTCACTACACATGTAGAAAACATTTTGGATATCACAACCCCAAGAGAAGTTAATTGTGTGCATGGGCACATTTTAAAAAATATACATCCACCATTCACTGTTGTCTTCAAATAAGTCGAGAAATGTTGGATGTCAAATTGTCTGGAGCAAAAAAAAAAAAAATACAAAAAAATCTACAGAGTCAAGGCAGATCTAATATAACAGCTATACATTTAAATCTGATTTTAGACATAGCCAGAGGGAAAGGAGATCCTGGAAACAAACATGTGTTGTAGGAAATTACTGGTGACATAAAAAATGTTTTCCTCATTTAACTGTTGTTGCTGTTGTTAGGTGTTGTTGAGTACAACTCATAGTGACCCTAGAAACAACAGATCTGAACCTTGTCTTATCCTATGCCATTCTTAGTATTTCAGACATACTCAAATCTATTGCAACAGTCACTGTATCAATCCATCTAACTGAGTGAGGGTCTTCCAATCTTCCCCCAACCCTCCACCTTTCCCAGCATGATGGCCCTGTCCAAGAAATAGCCTCTCCTAGCAACATGCCCAAAGTATGAGAGACTAATCTTTATCATTCTTGCTTCCAAGGAACACTCTGGTTCCAATTTCTCCTGGACATATCTGTCTGTTGTTTTGGAAGTCTATGGGATATTCAATACTCTTCTCCAATAGTACATTTCAAAGGCATCAATTCTTTCTTCTGTCATCCTTATTCACTATCCAACTCTTAGATGCATAGCAAGTGACTGAAAAGACCATAGCCAAATCAGGCACACCTTAGTCCTCTAACAGACATTGTTGCTCCTCAGTAATTTGAAAAAGTTCCTGACTAAAGACTTTCCCAATGTTGTATGTATCCTAATCTCCTGAATGCTTCCAAATATATTGATTGTGGACCCAAGTAAGATGAAGTCGTTGATGGGTGAGGAATTGCATTACCAAGGCAGAAGGTATATGGTATGAATTAACCAGCTATCTGCTGCACAGGAGAAAGATGGGCAATCTCCTCCCATACAATTAACTGTCTCTGAAAACCTGCTAAAGGGAGAGCTATGGGTGGACTCCAACTCAAAGGTAAACAACAACAGCAATAGCATTGAAAAGCTGTTAAAATGCTCTGTGTTGCCAATTTTACACTATAATCCCCTTGAAATCGCTCCGCTTTTGAGATGTTAGAACAAAGATAGCTTTTCAGTACAACATTCTCCTAGAAATTTTGGACACCTGTCAATGAACAGCATGGAGAGTAACTCTCTCCCCACTGTACCAAATTAAGAAGTGTGGCAGGACTTAGACAAATGTCTATTTGTAAAACTTCTCTGAAGAATGGCTTGCTAGAACTAATAATACTCTCTCTTTCCCAAATAGCAATACTGGAATAAGATGATATGTGTCTCTTATGGGCTTACATTGTTATGTGGAGGGTAGCATCCTTATAGTTGATGGCACATAGGTTCTCTGTTGGTCTGCTACTCAAAAGATTTTCTACTTTAATAAAACAGCCACTATTTGTTAGAACAGTGAGGTAATCTTGTCCTGTTAAGATTCACAGCTTTAGAAACTCAAAGGACGGCCATCGTGTGCCAGAACGACTTAATAGCAGTAGGTTTGGTTTTGTAGGGCTTTTATACTTGGGCACTGTGTTGCTTAGACAGATAATGACTTAAAATTGTACGTGGGGACATTTATGAGTCACTCCTAAAATGTCAATGAAAGGATTAGACCACCTGTGCCCAATGAGTGTTGATGAACAACATTACCGAGAAATCTTCTTTACAATGGGGAACTTCCATCTCTAGGAAAATCATGATTGATAAAGCAGTTTAATAACTAGTCCTAGAAAAATATGTTCTGTAACCACTCTACAAAACTGAAAAAGCATATATGCTCGCCATTGTGTACTCTTCTCATCGACTGAAGAAGACATAGGATCTGGTAAGGCTTCAGTCTGTTCAACATAAAATTGCTATGAGTTAAAGTTAACAAGACTTCATAACAAAAACAACCAATCATGTCATTCCACATATATGTCATCCATCAGTTCCTGTTAAATTTCTGCTCTCAACACTCCTGCTTCTCTTTCAATCCGTTTTGACACAACCAACCTACAAACTTGCTTAGACAACCACTGTCCCTGACACAGAGTTCACACAGTTAGGAACTATCCCTCAGAACCCCTTACTCAGTGGACCAGCCAACTCAGAAGAAATCTAAACCAGAAGATTTTAGCTTAATTTTGATCATAGCTCTTTGTATGTCTCTTAACTCCTTTTCTTGAAAGTGCTCATATCACATGCAACATCTACAAACTATGTCAGCGGCTGTAGATTCTTCCACTACGTTAAAACATCCCAGCCAAGAGCCCCTCTAACACTAGCAGCTTAGTAGACCCCACCATGTGTGGAAAAGTAGAGGATCCGGGAAAGAGAGGAAGACTCTCAGCAAGACGAACTGAAACAGTGAGCAACAATGGACTTGAGCCTAGTGGAGACTATGAGGATAGATGGCTCGGGAAAGGTCAATGGTTTAATCTCCTGCACATAGGTTTATCTTATAAAATCCTGCTTTTCCTTCAGTGAATTATCATATTCTCAACATACAGACATGCTGAGCCACTTAATACCCCTGACACAGAACTCAAACAAGCTGAGCTCACTTCCAATCTCTTAGAGCCCATACTCAGTGGCCTAGGCAGCTCAGGAGAAAGCTAAAGCAAGGGTTCTTAGTTCTTGGTTTATCTTGAACTACCAATCTAATCTACAAAAAATTTTGAATGCCTTTCCACTGGCTCATCATGGTGGCCCTGCTGACGTTTGAAATATTGATGGCATATCTAAATGGAAGTTACAGAAGGACAAAGACTGACATACTAAATCAACTTGATATTTTCTCTACTGGCAAAAGGATAGCTTTTGTATCTTCAAGTACACATAGTATTACGGTGCTGAAGCCTCAATATGATTGCTTTGTCAAAGACTTTCTTGACTAAACAATTATGGGTTTGTGCATAATGAAAATATCTTTAAAAGTCTAAGTTGTACTGATGATATTGGTGAAAAACAAGGCTCCAGGAGTTGATGGCCTATTGATTGAAATGTTTCAACATGTAGAATTAGGTCCAGAAGTTTTCACTTGCATATGCCAAGAAATTTGCAAGACAACTACCTGACCAAATACCTGGAAGAAGTCCAAAGAAATTCCAAAGAAATGTGATCCAACAAAATGCATAAACTATCAAATCTATAACTAATGTAGCAAAGAAGTAAAATTTTGCAAGCATGAATCAAAAAAGTCACAACAGTATATCAACACTGCCAAAACCTCAAATAATAGCATTACTGACATCAGATAGATCTTGGCAGAAAGCAGAGAATAATCTAAAGGTGGTTTTTGTTATTGCTGTTAGGTGCCATCGAGTCAGGAATGACTCATAGTGCCCCTATGAACAACAGATCTGAACCCTGTCCTCTCTTGTGGCAACCTCACAACCTGACACACTTGAGTCCATTGCTTCAGTCACTGTTATCAATCTACCTGGTTGAGACTCTTCCTCTTCTTCACCATCCCTCCACTTTTTCAAGCATGATATCCTTCTCCAAGGAATAACCTCTCCCAGCAGCATGCCCAAATTATGTGAGACAAAGCTTTGTCTTCCTTGCTTCCAAGAAGCACTCTAGCTTTACCTTCTCCAAAGATATGTCTGTTCTTTTGGCCTTCCATGGGCTATTCAGTACACTCCTCCAACTCCACACTCAAAGACTCAATTGTTCTTCTGTCATCTTTAGTCACTGTCCAGATCTCAGATGCATAACAAGTTATTGAAAAGACTACAGCTTGAAAAAGGCACATCTTAGTTCTCAAACTGACATCATTGCTCCTCAATAATTTAAAGAGATCCCTCAATTGCAGACTTTCCCAATAAAATATGTCTCCTGAAATCACGACTGCTGGTACAAAGTGTTGTGATTATAGATGTAAGATAAAGTCGTTGACATTTTGAATCTTTGCTCCATCTATCATGATGTCACCTATAGGTCCAGTGATGACAATTTGATTAAAGATAGGGGTATAGGTAAGAGTAGAGTTCTAGTTAGTGGGAAAATGTTTGGCTATGTTTTATTGACTATGCAAAGGAGTTTGGCTATGTGAATCATAATGAATTATGGATGGCATTGCAAAGAATCAAAGTTCCACAGCACTCAATTGTGTTCAAACACAATTTATATAAAGACAAAGAAGTAGTAATTTCAACAGAACAAGGGGATGCTGGGCAGTTTATAATCAGGAATATTTGCTCCTTTCAACATACGTATTCAATCTACACACTGGGAAAATAAACTTCCAAGTTGAACTATGTAATAAAGAAAGTGATATTAGGACTGGAGGAGGACACATCAACAAACTATGGAAGGCTGTATGATGCTTTCTCAAAAAGTTGCAAATAGAAATACCATTGACCCAGCAATTACACTACTAGGAACTGCCACCCAGGAGGATATATGCACACCCATGTTTATCACAGCTTTGTTCACAATAGCAAAGAGTT